TAAGTCATATAGACCATCTAGCCCCATGCCTAGGATGTTAGTTGCACGTGGATCAATCCCTTACACCCTCAGGTCGGGAGGTTATTTGGTTTTTATATAACTCAGCTGCTGGGGTGCTCATTTAACTGCATCTTCCTCAGCTTTCACATTCTTGGTCATGTAACCTAAATAGCATTCTTCTCCCCTTCCAATTAACTCTTGAGGAGGAGCACAGAACTTCCTGATATACAGGTGAAAAACTCTCAATTTAGACAAAAGGATTCTTTTTCCATTGACAGATGGGAATTAAGGTTAAGAAAAATTAGGAACTTGCCTAGGTTCCCAAAGCCAGTACATTTCAGAGCTAGGATTTCCATCTAGGCCTATATGATTCTGGAGCTCGTGCTGCCTTTCCATGTGGATGAGGGCTGAAGGGATAGTGGGAGTTGTAAACTGGAGAGGAGAAGTTACCTGCAAGCCATGGGCTTCTTTGGATCATAAGTACTTCTGGAACTTAAAAGCCTCCCCACTTTTGTATCTGTATCCCATACCTCTACTGGGTCTTAGAGAAGAGCAGGAGATACTAAGCTCCTCAAATCCAGAACTGTGTTCAGCATCAAGGCCAAAGATGAAGCCTGCTATGGAACTCAGACAGTTTGCCTAAAGCCCCTGTGCCTAGCCACCATTCTATAAACTTCTGAGTTTCATAGGATTTGTAGGAGAGTATTTAGGATGTATTAAGAGCTGAGACCCTGAGGCCAGAGAGCCTGCATTTGACTTAGCCTTATTGATGAATTAATTTATCAGTTACATATTGATTTTAGCCCCTCTGTGCCTCAGTTTCCTCATTTGAAAAATAATGGTACCTACCTCTTGGGGGCACTTGCAAAGATTAAAATAATAGTATTTATAAAGCACTTAAAACATTGCTTAGAACATAGTAAGCACTATAAAAATGTTGGCTATTAGTAATAACAATACCTTATTGTTGTTTATTATCATCCTCACCCCATATGAATTATGGGCTTCTGGGAGAGAAGACTAGAATTAATGAACTGTTAAAAGCCAGGTTCAGTTTCCAAGACCGAACCAATGGGTAGATCCAAACCCATCTCTAATAGCTTGCTGCCTAACCATTTTCCTATTCTCATTAAAAAGTAATTGCTGAATCAGACACCTCATGTTTCCTTTATCTCCTAAAATCCTCTAGTTGTTTCTGGGATTATCAAACCAGTCCTTTTCAACCTAATTGCACTCTCAATAATGGGCCAGATGTGTATGATAAGTCCTACTTGTGGCTGTGTCAATTGCTCCACTCTATTTATGAAGCTGCCATAGCAGCTTCATTATTTATCCCCCACCTCAACACAATTTGGCGTGTGTGCCTGTGTTTTAAACTGGGTTTGAGGCATTTAATTTTGCCAATACAATTTTAGAGTATTAGTTTGCCTCCTGTTCTCTCTCTGCCCTCCTTAATTACCATTTATTGCAAAGTCACACAGAAACATTAAATGCTAATTCTGACTTACATGTTCCTGGCCAAGAACAGGGATAATAATTTCTATCTAACACAACCTGAACTCATTTTAAATAAGGGTGATTCAGAGTAGAGATTGGAAATCATAATCAAGCCTTTCTCAAAATCGCCTTACCCTGGCAGTCATTCTCTAATGTCTCTGCTAATTGGTAAGCAAATGGCAAAAAAACAAAATCTCAATGTTACAAAAAAAACCTCACACAAAAAGCAACTTTGCAACAGCATTCATGAAATTGCTCCTCTCATCAGTTCTTACAACGTGACAGTTTAAGAAGAAAACACAACTCATTTTATTTGGTTAGATGGGGCTAATCCCACATCACCATAATCCCTCCTGATGTTTTATTGATTCTAAAGGACATTTAATCAGGAAGCAGCTCAGCACTAGAATCCTACTAATTAGCAAGCAGACACATTCAAAATGGGTTCCCAATTGAACAGCAGATTAATGGACAATATGTACCAAAATAATGTTTCGTGCATTTAGCTCCTAAAATGTGTGTCTAAATTGCATCTTTAATCTCTTAAGGATATAGGTTTGCATACAAAGCCCTTAACGGAATGGATTTAATTCAACAGAAGCAGCCTTAGCCAATGACTGTTTAAGGATGAAACAGGTTTATTACTTATACTTGCTATTCTTTACTGGTTTTCAAGGTTTTGATATCCTTGAACAGTCAAAGGTCAAAGATAGGTGAATAAAGAAATCAGTTTGCTTCTCTGATAAGCATGTAGAACAATGGGAAATGAGAATATTGATATAATTTTAAGTAGCCTAACCTCATTTGCTCCCCATTCACTCTTTTTCTCATATCTCTGATTCCTGGAACCTTGGTTCTGAATCAACTTTAATCAAATATACTATATACTTGATATAGTATGAGCTTTGATGCTTGCATTATCTCCTTTTATATTGTTGCCTTTTTGGAACTCCCAATTTTAGCTTATTAGTTTTCCACTAGGCTCTTAGTTCACTTCTCTGCTTTTGATACTTAACCACTTTTCCTCACTCTCATCCAACCACCCCCAGGGTTTCAGAGAAGGGAATCTCCCATGTCCAGAGCTGGTCTGGTAGAAATTCATGGGCTAAGCTCAGCCTTCTATCATCCTTTATTTATCAATTGATATTTCCCATAATCACTACCCTTCTTTGTTTTTCTGTGTTGCTCTTATTACCATGTGATGTCACATATTCTATCTTATTTCCCTCCTCCATTAGATACAAACTTCATGAGGGAACTGGCTTTGTTTTATTCATATCTATATTCCCAATTACTAGAGTAGTGATTGGTGTACAGTAGATGCTCGATAAATGTTTGTTAAATAAATGAGTTAATCAAATATTTACCGTATACCTGCCATGTGCCAAGTATCAGCCTACAAGGGAATATAAAGTGAGGGAAACAGTCATTTTCTTTGCCAGCGTGGAGATCACTATCTAGACATAAACTAACAAATCACACAAATAAATACATAACTACAAATAGTGATAAGTGCCAGGAAATATAATGACAAGGAACCTGATTTCGATGAGGTAGTTAGGGAAGGCCTTCTTCAATTTGACCATGAGCTAAGGACTGGGCAGAATTTGTGTATCTATATCCTTAAGAGTATTTTGAGACTATTCCTCCTCTAGTTAATTCTATTGTTTTGAATACCTACTATGTTCCAAGCATTGCTCTAGACACTTGAGATTCATCAATGAATAAAACAAAGATTCTGCCTGCCCTACGGAACTATAGTCTATAATCTTATCAGAAATAAATATCAGAGAGACATCAGCAAATTACCAAATATGTTAGAAGTTGATAACTATATAGAAGAAAGTAAAAAGAAAACACATTACAGGAAAGAATGGGTAGGGTATTACACTTTGAAATAGAGTGGTTAGTGTAGGTTTCATTGATGAGGTGACATTTGAGCAAAAATTTGAAGTGAAGAAGTTAGTATGAAGATATCTGGGGAAAGAGCCTTCTAGGCAAAGGAAACCTTTAGAGGATAGGTGTTAAGGTGGTTGTGTGCCTGGTGTGTTTGAGGAAGACAAGGAGCATATGTGACTGAAACATAATGAGCAAAGAAATTTGCAGATAGAGCCAGAGTAGTGTTTGGGGAGAGCAGTGATAAGGAAGCAGATCACTACTCTGGCTCCTGTACAACCCTATATGACGACTTTGATTTTTTCCTTCTTCTGAGTAAAATAAGATGCTCTTGCAGTGTCATGAGCAAAAACAAACAAACAAAAAAACCCAGACAAAACAAACTAACAAAAAACTATGTTTTAAACGGTCACGGTAGCTGCTATGTTAAGGATAAACTAGGGACAAGGGATAAACGGAGTTCAGTTAGAAGGCTAGTATAGTAATCCAGGAGAAAGATGATGGTAGCTTGGATGGGATATAGTTAAATAACAATAGACGTGATGACAAGTGACCAGATTCTGGACATACTCTGAACATAGAGTGGATTTACTAATGGATTACAGATGGATTAGAAATGAAATGTGAGGAAAAAAAGGATTACTGGTATGTTATATTTTTATTTTAATTTATTTAATATATTTTCTAATTTCTCTTGTGATTTTTCTCCTAATAATAAAATACATTTTCTGCTTTTCATGCTTGGCAATTTTTGTACAAATGCTAGAAATTGTTAATTTTATATTTTTGATTTGAGATTTTGTGTTCTCTTAGAAGCTTTGGGGATGTAGTCAACTTGGAAATGGTTTGGTCATTTTAAGCTTTATTGGGGTTCTTAAAATTTGTTAATTTGTCTAGGGTAATTTGGCCTCACTACAGCACAATACTCTCCTGAGGACTCTACTCAGTGCTTGCCACATGTATTCCTCTCTGATATTTGAGAATATGAACTATTCCCAAACCTGTATGAGATCTGAGTATTTTCTGCCTTTTTCTTTTGGTGTTTCTTTCTCTGGCCTTGGGTAGTTTCCTCAAATACATACATTAGCCTGTACTCACATGAAGACTTGAGGGCAACTCTTTGGAAAACTACAGAAAGAACTTCCTGGTTATCTCTCCTTTCTGCTACTCTGTACTGTACATTCTAGCCTCCTTGGCCTTCCTGAACTCTGAATTCTATCTCTCTAGCTCAAGGAGAATTCTGGGTTCAGTGTGGATTCCTCTTTCTTGTTTAATAAGCTGAGCTTACTTCATTTTTCTCTCAAGAATCACTGCTGCCTCTTGTCCAATGTCTAAAAGCAATTGCTTCATAGAGTTTGCCATATGTTTTAGTTATTTAAGATAGAATGGTAAATTTGATTGTTGACAGTCTATAATGGCTGGAAAAAGAAGTTTACTGCTTTTGTTTTTCTATGGTTAAGAAGATCTTCTGGTCTTAATATAGTCAGACATTTCTTAACTCTGTCTTTAGGTGATGAAATTGATTGTTTCACATATAAACCTTCTAGTCTAAAGACATCCGTGTTTAGTACCTTTTAGAGGATTATATGAATAAAAAATTTACTTACTTTATTTCATCTTGGTTACCCAAATCTTGATGATTAAGCAATGTTTCCAGGAGGCTCAAAGTCAGATGTAATCCATGTTTCCCACAGATAGCCCTGACCTGCAAATAAAACACAATTTGAAAATTTTCACTGTAATAAAATAAAAATTTGAATTTTCCTTTCATAATTAGAACCTATATAATCTTGACAAAGAATTAATACCCAGGAGTGCATTGTACCATTAGGATACCATTCATGACAAGGATGTCCAATTGAATTCTCATCAATAGCAGTTTCTTATTTGGTTGACAGAGGTATAGTTTATTATCCAGAAGTCACTGAACTTTGAAATTCTGATCTTACATTTTTGTCAGCCATGGAATTGGTGATGGTCAAGGCCTAGAAATTATATACACTTATTATATAGGTAAATTGCAAAGTAATTTTGTATATCTACTTTGATTTATAAGATAAGCCTATTGTGTTACCATGGTGAATATAACTGTCTGCATTTTATATATGAGGAAACCAAGACTTAGATTATGTGACCTTAATGTCATGTAGTTAATCAGTTATGGAACTTAATCTAGAAACCAGATGCTCAATAAATATTTTTGGATAAATGAATGAAGTATCACTGCAGTTTTCCAAATGCTTAATATTTTATGAGTCTAATTGACAAACCAGTTCAGTTCTCAGGTTGATGGGTGGGTAATACTTAGATTTAAACATGTCATACTTTTAGGGGTGTGATAGCATATGTTGTATGTTTAGCATAATGTTTAAGCATATAGATTTTGGAATGAAACAGGACTTATTCTGAACACCAGATCTGCTGCCTGTGATCTGTGTGACCTCAGAAAGTTATTTAACCTTTCTATGCCCAATTACTTCATCTACAAAATAAGACTAGTATTTTATTCTTTCCAGGATTCTGTGAAGATTACATGATAAACAGAATAATGCCTGGCTTTTAGTAGACATTGGATTAATATCTGTTGAATGAAGAAAATGGAGAGAGAGGAAGAAAAAAGAGGGAAAAGAAAGAAGAGAGAAGAGGAAAGGAAACGGGGTGGGGAGAGAGAGAACCAGGGGGAGAGTGAGGGTGAGAGAAAGGAAGGGAGAGAGAAGAAAGAAGGAAGGGAGGAAGGGACAAAGAACTTTAAAAATGTCTAATAATTTAGCGTTTGGGCTAAATAGTAGCTACTAAACAGTAGCTAGTATTATTATTTTTAGAGGAAGTTCATTATAGTAACTGCATTAAGCATGTCTTTTTATTCCAATGCTATGATAACATAGGGGCCTTGCTGACCCTGGAGAGATTGCTCTTCCCAGGGCTAGCCAGTTCCTAGATATAGTAAAGGACTGGCTTGAGAGAGCGCTTTTTCATATGCAAACTAACCATCATCTTTATCGGGGCTCTCACACTTGGGCCACTATTTCCCTGCCGTAATCTCCCCAGGACCGAATATCAAGCAACTAGGGACATACCATATGCCTCAGAGCCCCCAAATTATTCAAACAACCCAATCCTAAACCTGCTTACTCTGCCTAGCTCATTCTACAAAAAAGGCTCTTATCCACATTTTCCCCTCATCCTCTGCCTCCTGACAGCCCCTGGTGCTTCCCGGTGTGGCCTGTGTGACATGCGATGCCCCCTTCTTGGAAACTGTAACAAACTCTTTTTTTCAGTGGCAGTCATCTCCTGATCTGTTAGTCTCCAGAGCTGAATAATAATAAAACCTAGACTTTAAAACAGTGACAAAAATAATTTTCACTTGTCTTTATGTAAGGAAACAAACAACAAATCTGGGTTTGAAAGTTGCAAATTTTACTAGGTGTAAAGGAGTGGTATCAGGGAAACTTAATAACAAAAAAAGGTCAATTTGAAACATGAAAAATGAGTAAGTTTGCCAGAAGAATAAAGGGTTGGGGAGAATTCTAAGCAGAATAAAAGCATGTACAAATAATGGGTGAGGAAGAACGTAGTGCTTTTTAGAAACTGCATATATTTTGATATCCACTCTTCTCTAGTTTTATACCCCTTTCCAAGCTGGGTAGTAATTATCTGTTCATTGGTGCTTCTTTACAAGACAGTGGCTTACTAAGGGTTGTAATTGTGTTTCATTTTCCTATCACCATTGCCTAACACAGTGCTGAAAAATAAAAGATTAATAATTATTGAATAAGTGAATACATGGATGAATGAGAAAGTGGTTGAATGAGGAAGTGGATGAATGAGTTGAATACACTAAAGAGTGGAGTATGTATGGACAGAGGTTGGCAAAAAATTTTAGAGAGGTAGAAATTAGACACATTACACCATTTTACTCCCTAAATAAGAATTGATTCATCCTTATGTTTAGAGCATATTAATGTATTTTTAAACATCAATATTAAGAGGTTATTCTAAAAACAGTTCATTTACTTCTGGCAATATTGAGTTTTGCTGTAGGCTAAAATGAACAGCAGATTAGAAATAGTACATCAGAGTTCCTAGAAGCAGATTGATTGATAGCTGCTAAGAATTGACTGCTGACAGTTGTAAAGGAGTAATAGAAACATCTACCAGAAAATCTTGGCAATTTAGTGTTATTCAGGATTATTATTAAAATTCTTTAAAGCATGAATATTCATAATGATGACCCTTGTTCGATAAGAAAGCATTTGATTATGTGAAGTTTTTTTCTGTTTAATAAGGAATTTTTAAAATCAAATGTAAATAATCTATCTCATTTAGAAAATGACATGTGAAATTAAATGTTTATTTCCCCAAAATGCCCCTTGAAAGAGTGGTGCACAGATGCTCTCTTAACATTCTTACTTCCCATTATGGCTCCATTTTTATTTTACCTAATCACTATACCACAATTCTTAAACTGTGTTTACCAAGTCACTAGTAACCTCCATTGTTTCAAAATACCTTTCAGTCCTAATTATAGATGGCCTCTTTACAGCATGTGACATAGCTGATCACACCATCCTTCTATACATCTTTTCTCTTGGCTTTTTTTTACTACTCCTACCACTCTTTTGATTATCCATAGTCTTCTTTGTTGGCTTTTCTCTGTCTACCTATCCCTTAACATTGAGTGCCCTCTTCAATTTTCCCTTCTCACTTTTCATTATGTCCTTAGTAATCCCAATTACTTCCATGACTTCAACTCCATGTTGAAAATTCTTAAATCATTATTTAGTTTTAACCTTGCAACATAGATCAACATATTCAACACAACTCATCATTGCTTCTTCTACTCCTCCACACTGCTGCTTTTCTGTTTCGTGTCTCGGAGATGGTACCATCTACCAAGTTGCCAAAGCTAGAACCTCGAGTCATTTTTGATTCTTCCTAATTCAGGATTCACATCCCATTAGTCACTAAGAACTACTTTTGTATCTCAGTAATGAGACACCTTCTTGATAATAATGAGAAAGTTGCATGAGGATGAAGCAAAAAGAAATGAGAAGCATAGCCGCCTGTGTTCTAGTTAGCTTCTTCTGGAAGGATGATCTGGGAGTAGTTTGAGATGTAAAGTGGAAAGAGAATGAGTTCAAGAGATGAAGAATATAGATTATGTTATAAAAAGTTCAAAGTGAACCTGCATGCTTGAGGGCGTCTTAGGTTCTACAGATTTTTTGAATCATCTTAGGTTCTACAGATTTATTGAATCTGTGGTCAAGCTGGTTAATAAATGTATGTGAATCCATGTTGCCTCAGCAGTCCTTCCATTGCATCAAAGACATGCCATCATTGCATCAAAGACATGCTAGAGGAATAGGATGAGTGAGTCCTTAGAATGAGGATGACAAGTATTTGGTATGTTTTCATACCGTTTTTTGGCAGTGGTCAAAATTCTATTGATTTGAGTGTCAAGACTCAGATTATTTGTTAAGACTGAATTTACCTGAGAAGATACAAATGACCTGTGAACCCTCTGAAATGTTGGCTGTGAAGATGTGCCTCAGCACCCCCATCTCCACCCAGCACAGGGTGCGTAGATTTTATGAGAAACTTAAGGAGTCTGTAATTCTCTCTCATGCATCCCAACAAGATTTAGTACTGGTCAGAAAGAAAAGCCTTTCCAACTCAGATGATCTTTCCCAGTCCACTTTAAAGTCCTGTGTCCAGGAGCAAGGATTTTGGTGTGGAACCACTGCTGCTTTCTGTATCTAATGTCCCTTGGTTCCCAATTTGTCTCACGTTCTGGGGAAACAGAAATCTATTTAACATGCCTCCCAGAACTGTAATATACTTTGAGTGAGTTCCAGATGTCTTAAGAGATACCAGATGGCTCATGAAGCACAGACCAGCTTTAAGGAAAATGTGCCCCATTTCCTTGGATATGAACCACAAATTTAAGCTGTTAGGGCCAGCTGTTGGGGGAGAAGTTTAAGGCCTTTTATGATAACTAGTGCTCAGTGTGGCCATCATTGACCCCAGGAAAGCTCCTTTTTCCTTAGGCTGTTTTGAAGTGATACTTTCATCAAACACTGATTTTTTAATAAAGTAAACTAATATTTACTGAGTGCCTCATATATCTGACTGCGTAAAGTGCCTTCACGTACTTACCTTGTTTAATCCTCACAGTAGACATGGGTGGTAAATATTTGGAACCCAGTTTTTCCATATGAAATATCTGAGGTATAAAGAGTTTAAGCAAATTTATTTTGATTTTCAAGTCACTTGTGTTCAATCCTATGAGTATCATCTGAGAACATACAACTTCACTGATGGTGATAGTTTCTAGTAACAAAGAATTGGTGCTTCTTTATTTCTACTTATCTATTCCTGAACATGATAAAAGATGTTTATGATGTGTGGAATCTCCTGTAGTATTCTCTCTCTTTAGTGAAACATGCTTTCATGTGTAATATTCACATACATACACACACATAATATCACGAGCTTTGCCTTTGCATACTTGATTGACTGTATAAATAAAAGTGTAGAGAAGGCCACTTCTATGCTAGAATAAGAACCCACTTACAGCATATCATGTCCTTGCTTTCTTAGTGAACATAATTTGTTCTTTTCGATTCTCTGACTCTCAATTCTAACCCATGTTTACCTAGATGAAAGGTATTTTCTAATCTTTTCAATGGGACTCCCCCACTTCTCCATAATTTCTAATCCTTTCTACTCCTAGAATTCTAACTCTTGTATCTTGGGTTCAGTGGAATCTTCTAGATATCTTCTGTCTAATGAAGTTCCAATTCTAGCTCTTAATTTTCAGTTTCCTTTTGTACTTAGAATTCTGCCTCTGCCACTCACTAGCTATGGCCCTTGGGTAATTCAACTGGCCTCTCTGAGACTCAGTTTTTAAAATTTATTAAGTAGGTATTATAACACCTATTTAGACTTTTGCAGTTATCTGTAAGTGTTAAGTGAGATGATGTAAATAAGGCATCTAGTACAGTACTTGGCACTTAGTAAGAACTCAAAGCTTAGTGGTTGTTAGTGGAATTGTAGAAATAGCGATAATTATTATTTCACCTGTATACTGGGGTTTATAATTAATATGGTTCTGGACCTTCTTCCATGAAACACATCTGCACTATTAATTAACGCTTTGAAACAGGATGCTATTCTCTATCAGCAATAAATCACATTAGTTTCTAAAATTTGGTATTCCTAAGGAATGGGATACCACATGCTGACCTCACTGGAAGCTGGTAGAAGATGTGAGAAATGACCATTTGGCCTTGGCAAAATATTTGTTTTCCATTGTGAAATATTATTTTAGTATGGTTATATTCTTTATTGTAAACATAAAGTAGACTGATGTAAGTAATTCGTGGATCAATTCTGCACATTTCACAATTCCTTTTCTATTTTGTTTTTCACCTCTCTAGCACAGAAAATAAAACAAAACAAAACAAAACTCTGTAATGTAATCCACAGGCAGAACACAGATCATAACTGTGCTTTTTTACTATAGATCCAAAGACCCAATGTAGCCTTTTAGAGATGAATAAATCTGAAATCTAATTTTATTTACCTTGGGTGGGGATAGGTAGCCAGAGAATGAGCGATCTTCTTTTCGAAAACTCAGATTAAGGCTCTCTATGTTGAGTTTGCCATTTGTTGTTCTTAGTGCCATCTTTAAGATTTCCAACAGGCCCTTTTTCATTTCTGACTGCAAACTGGAGTTTGGAGGAGCAGTATTGCTTGGAGAGGCAGGGGAAAGGCTGTGAAAAGATGATCCATTGAAAGCCACTGTATTTTTTTATATTATGTCACTCACCCTTGTTATACACCATGGCTCCAGAGAACCCACCCAGTAAGGCCTTTTAAATCTCTGTAACCTGGTCATGGGACTGCAATTTGTGATTTCATAGATTAATTCAAATCTGTTCCATTCTAGGAGCACTACAGTCTCTTCCAGGAGGAACCAATCAATTCAACTAGAACATAGACCAAAATTTGTATTCCATTCTCTCATTTTTCCAGGTTGAGAGAAAAAATTCAGAGTGACTTAGTAGTTTACTTTACTTACTTGATTTTACTTTTTAAAGTGCAGGATAATCAAATTTCTAAATGGTACATTGTCACAAGCAAAGCAGACCCTGTTAGAGCGCTGTAACCAGGGAACCTATGTAGAAGGAAATTTTAAACCAGGTGAACTTCCTGCATTATCCATAAATCTGCTGTTTGTATCTGGAAAACCCAGAAAATATTTGAGAGTAATTACTTACTTATCATGTGGCATGTTAATGTATGTAATTATTCAGACAGTTTATCTGGCTATTGTTACTTTATATAGCAGGTGAAAAATACCAGGGTGATAAAATGTTAGTCATTTATTTTATGAAACTAGTTTGAGATATTTACTCATTTAACATTCAAAGATATGTGTCTTTCCAGATTTGGCTGACCTATCTTCTCTACAGTGAAGCTTTTTGTAATTTCCATTATCTCAACTTAAGCACCATTTCCCTAGAGGGACATTCTATGACATCCTCTATCCTCCACGCATATAAATCGGTTTGCGTTCAGTGTATTCTTGGTAAAGCTCTAACAACCAACAATTCAAGATAAAGTCCTAACTTGGAGGATTTCTGATTTTCATGTATAAATATGCCCACCATGGCTGATTTCAAGCTACCAATATGTCACTGAATGAGGACTTGGAAACTGATGTTCACAGTAGGTCCTCATGGTGCTCTAGCACCCTCTGCTTGATAAACTCTTTCATAATTCCTTGTTCTTTTCCTTATGTCTCCCTCGAATTGCGGTTGCCTCTTTATTTCTTTAGTCATTGTTTCATGCTTGACCTCCGAAGCAGATTGCTCCATAAGAAGTGGGTCGAATCTACTTTGTTCCTTACTATTTCCAGATCTTGTACAGTATGTGTAATTGATTATTTTTGGATGTATTTAATTTTTCCTGAAGGTCGTATTGTATTTTCTTTTTCCTCTGTGACTCTTACTTGAGTTTTGGCTCTAAACTATACCATTCTGAACTATTTATTAATAGTGAATATTTTCCAAAAGCACGATACAGGAAAGGAGAAGTGACTATCTATGTTTTGGTTAGCTAGCTCTGCACCCTTCTTCCTTTCAAGGAGTTCCCCAGCTCAGGAGTCTGCCTCTTACTTTAGCAGGGGAAAATGCCAGCTATTTGCTTATCAGCTTTTCTTTGCTGCTTAGGGTATATGACTGTGGCCTTGCCAATCAGGTGTACCTGTCCCAGATTTGAATCAGAAGTGTTCCTTCCTCTTTTTTTTTCCTCACACCAGTTTTTGGAGATAGGAGTTCATTAGTCTCTGGCCCCTAGCTCAGTACAATGAATACTGAATGGGCAGGTGTTGTATGAATCCCATATACTGCGTTTGGTGGGGTTTCTTAGAAAACCTGCTGCAGGAGTCGATTTCATCTGGTCCAACTTAGGTGGTGAGAGCTGTTGCCACTCCTGCTCCCACTGGTGATGCTAGAGGCTTTTTAAACATCACAGAGCTGCCTCATTAAAAGCTCTACCTGACAGAAATGAGAGGGCATTTTCCTGAGCAGCACATTAATTAAAAAAGAGCTTGGATTCATTACAGGCCATCAGTCCTGCGCTTCTACACATACACACTGTCTGGTTTGTGTAAACCAGCACCTTCTCTGAGGAGTTCAAAATGATCTCTTTATGTACCTTTTTATAGGCTAGATATCCAGATGTCCCTTCATGTGAAATGATGCAAGCTCTTTGAATAACTGGAAGTGCCAATTACATTTAATAAATGTTTACTGAACATTTCCCATGTGTCAGGAACTATGCTAGACGCTGAGTTGGCCAGGACAGACACTATCCCTAACCTCAATTATCAAATAAATAATTACAAATACAATGTCTGTTATGAAGGGGAAAGACTATGGGACCATTCGGCAAAGCGATATATTCTAGCCTATGGCTCAGGACAGGCTTCCTGTCTAGGAATCATAAGACCTACATCTGCCAATGAGTGGCCATGTTTTCCAGTGCATAGTGTATTCGCTCTCAAGGGCCAAATCTCATAATCTGTATTATACAGTGTGGTTGTTGATTATTAAAAATGTATAGGACTTTATGGCTCTCAGTAGGACAGTTACTTCCAGAGTGAGATTTGCCTGGCATATCCACATGGCAGTATCACTTTCTTTGGACTATGAGCCCTTAAAGGAGAGACTGAGCCTTGCCAACTTCCAAATTCACTGTGCCCAGCAAAGTGTGCCTGGCAAACAGCTGCTCTTCAATGAATATTTGTTGAATGAAGTACCAGAATCAAAAAGGGCACCCTGGAGAAGGGAATTAAGTCTAACATTTGGCCTAGGGACATTTTACAGAAAACTACCTTTTTCCTAGAGTAAAGATATAAATTTGTATGCCATGGCACTTAGTCATTATGTCACATATGTAACTGAAGAGAGTGTCTTCTGGAAAGGTAGTTTAAAAATAGTAACAAATACTTATATAGCATTTACTATGTACCAGGCACTGTTTTTAAGAACTTTGTATTAATTAACTCAGTCATTGTTACAAATCTCTGGAGTTCAGTGAAGTTTATTATTCCCATTTTACAGTTTTTCTTAGAATGGAAGCACAGAGAGGGTAAGTGACTAGTCTAAAGTTACAAAGCTCCTTTGTGCAGAGATCGGGATTGAGCCCAGACTTCTGGCAATGAGGCTATGCTCCTAATCACTGCACTTTGGTCATTTTTCTTGGAGAATGCAGAAACTATCATGCTTTACAGTGTCTCATCTCTAAAGATAATCTTCACATCCTATTTTTACTTTTGGTCATTTATTTTCCCTGAGATTATGTAAAGGAATTATCAATTCTTGTACCTCAAACATTTGTTGGCTAGTAGTCCAGGAGTTCACTGACTGAACAGATTTCTGGAATCACACTCTAGATTAGCTCTGCACCAGTACACAATTATTTCTTATTTCATAATGAGGTTTTTCATTTTCACATGACAACTGCATAAAAAAGACACTCTTGATGTTAAGAAACACATGCCATTTCTATAAATAATTTTCTGTGCCAACCTATGTATAATAGAGAAAGAGAACTACAAGTAGAAGCCAAGTGTCTGTGAAGAGCAAAGTGGATCTGCATTGGATGGGCTTTTAGAGTAATTGGCCTCCAAGATCCCTGCCAGCTCTGGAAGTCTAGGGATAGTATGCCCACAGAGACAGAGAAAAGTACCTTTTGCTGTGATGGCTACCACCCTCAGTTTTCTTCAGGTTGCTGTCCACAACTTGTTTGCTTTGCTGTGGATCATCTGAAGCTGCAACTTTTAAAAACCAGAGTAGCTTTTCATAATTCACCTGAAAATTAAATATGCTCATTTAATTTACATGTAAGGGAAAG